ATGCCCTTTATTTCCTTCTCTTCTCTGATTGCTCTGGCTAGTACTTCCAACACTGTTGAATTATATTACTTTTATAGTGAAAGAAAATGTTACTTCTAAAATTGTAGGCTGCTTTGTATGCAAGGAATATTATTAATAAGTACTATTTATTGCACATTGACTATGAATGCCCCTGTTAATTGCTTTGCATCATCTCAGTGAATTTTTTTTTTTTTTGTCTTTTGTCTTTTTCCGTGTCCGGCAATGGATCGCAACCCTCAGTGTTGCCCCCGCACCGGGCCGGGGACCGGCAACGGGACCACAACCCTCGGCGTTGCTCCCGTGCCTCGCTCAGCCAGTGAGCGGCAACCGGTCTGTATGTGGGATCCGAACCCTCGGGCAGGAGCGCCGCCGCGCTTCCCAAGCGGCGCACTTATCCAGTGCGCCACCGGGCCAGCCCCATCTCAGTGAATTTTTATAACAATCTTATAAGGTTGGTTCTACTATGATCTTTAGAGGTTGTTTTTTTTTAAAGGTAAGGTTTAGGGATTTTAAGCTACTGTTTTTCATGGAATCTTTATTCCATAATAATGGATACAGGACCGAAGCCTCCAGGGAAACAAAAAGGGAGCTTTCTATCTAGATTTGCAAAGCTATTCACTAAACAGTTGGAATAGTGAAAATTGAAATGAACAACTGTGCAAACTCCCTTAAAATTTTACATCTCTTGTTCACTAATAAAGGCCTGTTATCAACATCTTACATTCAAGCTGACTTGTATTTGCTTGTTTAACTGAAAGCTATCACCCAAACTCACGCCATGACCTGCAGCTGGAAGGGAAAACATTTGGGTTGTCTGGAGAGAAGAGCTAAAATAGGTCAGAAAGATACCTCTGTGAAAAAACTATCCCAGTCTACAGAGTTGCTTCTCAATGGCCTACTGGGGTCATACGTACTTTTAGATGGCAAAAATTCATACATTCAAGCAAGTGATGTGATTAGCATTTCTCTTGGCTGGGTGATTGCCAGGAAAGAAAAAAATTAAGCCCAACAACCTGGAGAAGATAGGAGACTATTGGAGATTTCTAAAGATTATTGCTTTCTATCTAGATGATACTAAACAACAACAACAACAAAAATTTTTAAAACCTAGTGAGTATCTCTTTAGCTGAGTGGCTTGGCAGAAGGTTGCTGCCAGGGTTACCAGATACTAAGATTAAAAATGGCTGCTTGCAGCTGGCTAAATAAATCCATAAAACAAACCCTTGAGAATGATTTACTTTAAGAGTACCATGTTTATAACCCCACAGAAACTATTCTGTGTGGTTTTCAGGGCAACCCCCAAAGCCTTGCAAATTTCTCAATATAATAATTTCTCAGTGGTATGCCCTATTTGTGCTACAACCCAGGGCTGAAGCATGCCTCAATGCTGATGTCTGATAGAGCTGAACCAGTCTCTGCTCCCTGTCCACTCTTTGCTGCGACCATCTTATCCAGTGTCAGGGTTTTGGCAATCATCTTTAAGCAGATGACTTTTGAATCAACTTCTCCATCCGGGCTTTAAGAATTCCAGTCCCACATTTCTCATTTTTGCTGGGTAACCGCAGGCACCTCAGCTCCTTACATCTGAAAGTGAATACCTGATCTCCTTAGAAGCCTTATGTTTCTCATACCATCAAATAGAATAGTCTCCTTTAAGACACTTCTCTTGAAATCATGCATCATATTTGTGCCTCCTTTCTTGATCCTCATACCTAATAAGTTACCAAGTCCAGCCTATATCTTTGGACTTCGGCCCTCTTTTCTATTTTCACTTCCACTGCTTTAGTTCAGGTCCTCTTTCCCTTTCTCCTGCATCAGCATTCCCACACAATGGTTTCCTTGCAAACATTCTTCACTCTATTCTTTCTTGTCTACTGCTATCAGAGTAATCTTTCCAAAGCTCAGTTTCAGCTATACCATTGTCATACTCAGAACCAGTATTGGCCTCTCATTGCTTACACAAGAAGACTAGATTGCTTACCACGGCATTCACAAGCAGATCTCAGCCTTATTTACTCTACAGTGCCTTCCTTATCTGCTAGCCCAGTGTTTCTAAGCCTCTTTTTCATTACTGTCCACACTAAACAGCCTTTTTAGAATTTTTTTCTTAATCACCACCCTCAGAAAATGTTAATACCACAGATATACTGTGTATCTGTCTATGTATTGTGTGCATATGTGTGTTCTATACACAAAAAGAGTAAGATTTTGCCCTTACGAGAATGCATGCTGTAGCCAAAACAGACCACTTACCAATCCTTGAATATGTCCTTGTGTTTTCTGGATTCCAAGTTTTTGCTCACTCTGGCCATTAGTCAGAGGAGTTGAGGGAATATAAGAAAATTCCTAGAGTGTACTTCTGCTATCAGCACCTGTTCCCCTTGCCTAGAAAAGAGTCACATGTCTCCTCCCACCACTATCTCCTTCTTCCTGTTGAAATCTGACCCTTCATGTTGCAACCTAAATACCATATCCTCTCCCCTGACCCCCTTAGTTGTAACTAACTTTTTTTCTGTGCTCTCAGGGAATTTTCTTTATTCCTCTATTATGTTCTTTGTTCTTTAGTCATTTTTCTATTCATGGTACCTCTCCTACCAGATTATAAACTTCTTAAGAACAAGAACTATGTGTTTGCAGTGAACAATGCCTTCATGTAATAGACACCAGAATATGTCATTTGAAATTAATTCGCTAATATACTGGAAACAGGGTAAAAGCCCACCAATGCCTACATTAAGAAGTCCCATGTATGTGTTGAATAAATGAATAAACAAACACACTAGAAAAATTGGACACCCTGTACAACTCCAAGACACACTCCTAAACCACCATTGTCAATATAGAGACTATAAAGGAGTTCTGTGTGCCGTACAACATTGGTAAACAGATTTGATTCCTGCTTCATGCAAATAACAAACAAGACACCCACAAAAGTTATTTGAATGGCCAGCTGCCTAGACTTCTCTTAAGTAATGATGATCAGGGTGGGTAAAGGGCCCAAAGACAAAAACATAAATAGCCATTTTTGACATCATGTTTTTGTTACAGATACAAAATCTTTATTAGGCTTATTTGCCAGGAAAAGAGATGATATATATGGCAGTACATTTTAAATGTTAGTAATCGTCATAACCACATAAGGAATAACCAAATTAAGGCTATGGGGCAGGAAAGTCGATCTGGCAAAGTTATTTTGGGGTAGGAAATGAAGCCAAGAGAAACAACATGTTTTCTGAAAAAAAGCCTTGATAATTTAAAAAAAGTGTACATATGAATGTTCTTGGAAATTTCTATCCATACTTCATTACAATGTGGAATAGTTGACTTTCTAGGAAAAGCTACTTCCGAGGTTTCATATTGTTACATTTTGCTTTAGTCAGAGGATTAGGTATTTGAAAGTGTATTACTTTCTGAAACAACTTATTAAGATTATAAAATCTTACAAAAAATTTCTGACAGGTGCTTTCTACCATCCTTTGCCCCAGGGCTGTCTTCTCCTAAATTTCCAAAGATATACTAATTTCAGCCCTTCGGCCAGGTCCATCCACAGCTACCTGTGTAATGAGTTCAGCCTTTTCTGGTCTTTCAAATAGGGTAAGGCTTCCATCAGTTCTAAAGCTCCTACTCACATTCTGTTTCTTACCGGCTCTTAAATATTGAAAGGGAAGATTAGTCATGAGTCTTTATTCTTTCCACTCCTTCTGCTACTCAAGTTCAAGTTCTGAGAGTAAACAGCAACAGCCAAAGCAAATAGTGTCGGGCCAGCAGTTAAGCCTTGGCCTCATTAGATGCAGAATTATGTAGGCTTGTTTGCTTAGAAGTCAGATGAGGGAGGGGGAGGGGAAAAGGGCGGGGACGAGGAAGAGCCCGCCCCCCTTGGAAGGGGATTGGTTCCCTCTCCACTTTTAGTAGTTCATTTTGCATCCCGGTTGGACAGGTTGAGAGAAACATGTCATTAAGGTGTTGTCAAAACGAGTCCTGTACTTGTGGGACGTTCCCTAGGTTTGTGGTTTGAGATTTTCAAAGGGGCGGACTTATGGGCTTTGGGATCAAGTTCCCCAAACGAGTCTTCTCTATACGTTGAAAAATGCCATTGTAACAGGAGGCGCCAAGGAGCTCAAGTTCAACACACACAGTAGAGAAAATGACGAAAGTTCCTCAGAGGTTTGATTTCAATTTCTTAAGTGAGGAAGAAGCCAGGAAGATCCTTCAGGTGCTGGAAAGAAATGAGGAACTACAGAGGGCAGAGAGGGACAGGATCAGGTACAGAGCAAATTCCTTTCCCTTTCCCTGGGCCGGGGTCTGCGGCTCCCCAGAGCGGGGCGTGCGCTGGGAGGCGCGGGGCTGTCGCGGGACCCCTGCCCGGGGGCTCCGGGACGCCGGGGACGCGCGCTCCGGCGGATGCTGCGGGTCGGGGAGAGGAAAAGTGCGCTGAGTTCCTCCCTAAGGCACTTTGGGACTTCTGGCGGGTGCTCTCTCCAGACACTGACTGCATCCCGGGCGGGAATGGTTGCGAGTCTGGGGTCTCGCAGGGTAGTGGCGAGTTCTTCGGTGCCTTTCTCTGCGAGCGGGTCCCGAGCGACTGTCCAGCCCCGTCCGGCACACGTGGGCCGCGCTCGGCTGCGTGGGGTCCAGGTGTGTGGCGACGCCGCGCTCTGCTCAGGTGTGTCCTCCGCCGTTGGGGGCCCAGGGCCATTTCCGGCAGGTGAATGGGGCGGGGGCGCTGCGTGGCTCCAAGTCCTGCCCCTGCTCCTCTGAGGTCGCTGCGCACCCACGTGCGCACACTGGTCCTCCAGGTCGTCTACCCTAACCTAACACCTTTTCCCGAGGCCCCAGAGACACCTCTATCCACCCCACGCTACCAGTCAGAGAGGCCCGGGAGAGCTGGCACCTCCCGGGCAGAGACACGTCCCCACCCCACGGGCGGTAGCTCGAGGAATTTGCCAAACAGAGGCTTGTGTGAGTTAATGGCACGTGGACGCGCGGGCTTGGCTGGAATGGGTGGGTCTCCTTGTGTGTGGTGCTGTGGGGAGGAAGTGTCTACGGAATTTCACCCTTGTCCTTACTATACAGTGTTTCCAGTGAGAGAGTAGTTAACAGAGAATGGAATCCTGAAAATTCCATTGGGATGTAAATTAACCAGTTTCCTGCTGGGGAAGTGTGGGATAAGTCCTGGGATGAAGGCACTCTCTCCCCAGTGTTGGAATAGACCCATCCAAAAACTTCTCTAGATGATTTTCGAAGTTTGAGGATGTGGATTTCACACACTCTGCTTTTAGAAAAATAAGCTTCATCATTCCTCCAAACAGTGTAAAAGGTGTGCTCTCCTGAGAACAGTATGTCCAAACCCACGCACACCCACGTACATGGGCCCACACATATGCACATGCACCACCCGGGCACACCCAACTTTGGGAAGGAGAACTTTAGAACTGCGTGGAGTTTGGCTTCAACACAGGTTCCAAAGGCGCTAAGAAACTGTGGTTGCTCTCAGTGTACATTACTGGAAGTATTTCTTGTCTCTGAAGAGCATAGGGCTTTCTAAGTGATACTTTGTGTTATTTGGGGAAATTGAGGGGAGAATTAGGAAACAATAAGAGGAAGGGAAGCTTCCATTTAGGTTATCAAATTGATTTCTCATGAACTATAGTCTTAAAAATAGAGATATAATTTATTTTAATTTTCACTGAAGAGAATTTTGACTTTTTATATTTGACCTGATGATTGCCTTGTGTTTCCTCTATAGCAGTTCATGGTACCCACTTCAGTTGACTTTAGAGGGAACTAGATCTATACATAGGTGACAAAGGCCAATGGGCTAGGTGTTAGAAGGCTAAAAAACATCTGATTTCATGGCCCTCACATCCTAACTGAAACATCGACAGAAAAAGCCATAGTGCTAAGACAAAATCAATACTGTCACAGACTACTAATAATATTTAACTACTCAATTCGGAAAATGTCACCATTAAAATATAAAAATAATTTAAGGAAAGTAGATGCTTGGACCAAATATTCAAAGCAATAATTTCTAGTACTTCCTTTTCCCCCGTATAATTCCTGGCTTCCACTCTCAAACACTCATGTCTGGATAGCAGTCTCCATGGGATTGTTTTGCTTACCTTCCTCAGGCTCACATGGTTTTAGTAGCAGATACTGACATGCAGAAAGGGCCTGAGATAACATGTCAACTTGGCTGCCTCTTCTGCTGATTTTCTTGATATGTACGATCATCATATTTTCCGAATCAAAGATCAGGATACATGACTTATTATTCAAGAATATAATTTCACAGACAGTTCAACAGGCCTGTCTGAGAGACTCTGGGCAGACTTTTTACTATATTGAGAAACAGCCTCAAGATCTCTTGACTAGGAAAATAAGGGACCAAATGGGGAAGTTTGGAAAGTTATCTGGTTGGATGAGTTCAGTTATAACTGTGATAGGCTTGAGATGTCTACAATACAACTAAAAAGAAATATCCTATAGTTAGAGCCAGAGATGTTCAGAGATGGATGGTAAAGTCGTGAGAGTAGTTGAGTTCACCGTGCAGGAGACAGCAGCCCCACCCACAGAAATGCTGTTGAACACACAGAGCTTTCCCCTGTCTCCCCTCATCTGTACTGGACCTCTCTGGCTCCAGCTTATAGGGAAAGTATTTATATTAAATGTAATAGTTAATGTTCCTAATATATAAAAAGCTTATTCAAATTTTTAAGAGAAACACCAAGATTCAAATTGATAAATATGCAAAAGATAGAAATAAACCATTCACACCAGAAAATATCCAAACAGTAAACAAAACAGATAGGAAAATGCTTTTCCTCACAGTAATTTAAAAAAATTGAAATAACCTTGAGATATCATGTTGCCCCTTTAAAAATGACAGAAAAAACTGTTTGTAAAGATAGAGAGAAGCAGAAAGATTCTGCATATTGTTAGTGACATTGTGAGTCTTTTGGGGAGCAATATGGCAATCCCTATACAGATATGCCTTACTCTTAACTCAGTTGTCCAATTCTTGGATATTTCTCATTACTAGGAAATTGAGGTGGAGAAGATGACCACACCAACATTTATAGGGTACAGCTTTTTAATATAATAATAGTAATTATTATGATAATAATAACCATTAACATTTATTGGGCCCTTACTGTATACTAGGCACTGTACTAAACATGTTATACAGATTTAATTTATCTTCCCAATAACCTCATTAGGTGCATACTTTAATTTCCATTTCACAGAGAAGGAAAAACTTACAAAGGTTGGGTGCCTTGTCCAAGTTAAGCAGTAGAACCAGAATTCAAATCCAAGTCTATCTCAGAACTATTTTACCCATCAGCACTGAATAATCCTTACAACTGTTCCTTGGAATGAGTATTATTAATGGCTTTTTACAGAAGGGAAACTAAAATTTAGCAAGGGTAAGGAACTTGCCCTAGGTCACACAGCTCATAAGTGGAAGAGCTAGAATTTGAACCCAAATTTATCTGGCTCCAAAGCTTGTATTCTTTTTGTGTATGCAATGGCACTTCAAAAAGTTTGTGGAAAATAGAACTGAAAGATAATACGAATCTTTCCCTGAACTTTTTGAAGTATCCTCATATGTATATATGTATGTGTGTGTGTATGCTGTGTGAGTGCATATGCATATATGTATGTATAGTCATGGTTCGAAAACCACAACTACCTCCACCTCCATCACCAGGTCTCATGAATGGAACTCTGAATGGAGAGTACCAAAAGGTTATATCACCTCATCAGCTCATGAAAGAGATATATATACATCAGAAATGTTTGTTTTTCCTATTGCAGAAAACTTATAAAGTATAAGATGTTACAAAACCTGGTGCAATCAAGTTGAAAAATGGCATGTCTAGATTTAGACCATCTTTGCTCAATAGCAAGATTGCAGCCTAGGAAGGTTTTCCAGAATTTAGTTGTTTCTGATTGACTTACAATAGTGTCCTTGAGCTGTGGCACAGTCCTGAAGGGGACTGTATATATCCGGTAAAAGAGAAACTTTAGACAAATTTAATTTAACATAGTTTAATTGAGCAAAGAAAGATTCGCAAATTGGGCAGCCTTCAGAACCAGAATAGGTTCAGAGTGACTCTGAGGCTGCCGCATGGTAGGCTAAGATTTATAAACAGAAAAAGGAAAAGTGACTTACAGGAAATGGAAGTGAGGTACAGAAACAGCTGGATTGGTTACAGCTTGGTGTTTGCCTTATTTGAACGCAGTTCAAATAGTTGGCTGCTGGTGATTGGCTAAGACTTGGCTACTGGTTCCAAAAGTAGGTTACAGTCTGTCTATACCTCAAGTTAGGTTCCAGTTCATTATGTCTGAAGAAACCTTTAGCCCACACTTAATTTAACATATCACAGTTGCAAAGCACAGCTGGTGGAAGCTGCAGCATCCTGCAGAGATTAAAAGCCAGACACATCCTGTCTCTCCCAGGCTGTCTGCCTGCTCTCTCCTCTCCCAGCCTGTGAAATCTGCCTCTGGCTAAGAGAGTTTCAAGAGACATTTGGATGCCTATTTATTGGGCATCTACTATGTGCCAAACACTACGAAGAGAATAAAACACAGATTCTGCCCCAACAGCTAAAGTCTATGCAAGTTTTTTATTGGTGGTAGAACCTATAAGATGAAGCGTTCACATAAATATAGCTCACCCTTAAGCAGCCCTATGTGGCCTGGAAAAGGGACCATGAGAGCAATGCCCAGCAGTCACAGGCATGCCCGATAGGCTTGAGTATTCTGATATATAACAAGGTAGTATCTGATTAACTTCATGGATCTCTGAGGTGTCTGCTCTTTCCAACAACATCCAATTTAGTTAATTCCTTTAAAGGGAGGGGAGAACTTTGTCTCAGATATATTCTCCTATTTACTCCTGTAGATTGCTTTCCATGTGTAATACACATAGAACAACCACAATAATATCGTTCCATATCCCAAGGTCAGGGAGTAGTGTCCTCGTTAGGCTTTTTGACATTATAACTCTTGTAGCTTTCTTTTTTTTCCTGTGGTGGCTGGCTGGTGCTGGACCTTGGTATTACAAAGTTGTGCTCTAGCCAACTGAGCTAACAGGCCAGCCCCTCTCTTTTAGCTTTTAAAGTCTTTCATATCTTTTTGTTTTTATCCTCATCTTAAACATGGTAATGCAGGTATTTTCATCTTTTTCAAAATAATAATAGTGACTATAATAATAGCTAACATTTGTTGCACTTGTTCTATGCTAAATTCATCGTATG